CCCGGGGACGCCCCCCCCCCCCCCCCCAGGGTTGTGGCCCTGAGGTTCCATGGTGTCCGTTCTCGTGGTTCCGTGGGGGAAGCAGTTAAGAGCTCACACATGTCCCGTGTAAGCGGGGTCCACGGGTCCCCCGTAAGTGGGGGAAACTTGGGTTCCGGATCTCGTTAGAAGCAGGACAGGACCAGTTTGAGCTGGTTCTGCGGCTCCAGGGCAGGTCCACAAGCCTCCACCGCCCTCCGGACACTCAGCGGAGGTGCCACCAGCCGGACAGGGTCTGGGCTGCGGCCCTCGTGCCCCTGGACACGGATGAGGTCCGCTGGCGCCCCCACCATCTGACGGTGGCAGTGGCAGCGTGGGGCAGGGCCGGGCTTTCCCTTGGCCTGCTGGGCCCCACCGTGGAGTGTGGCTGAGCACTGAGTCCCCACAGAGCCCCTCCCACTAGGACCGGAAGGCCAGCCAATTAGGTCCGCTCCCTCCAAGGACAGAGAGCTTGGTGACCAGGCCCCCCGCCCCCCACCCCGCACCCTTTCTTTCTGGCAAGCTCTGCTGGGGCCCCCAGGAAGTCACCACCAGGTCAAAGGCCACAGCCGTGGACACTGCCTGGATCCTGCCTGGATCCCAGGTGAGCTAGATGGGGGGTGACTGGTTGTACACAGAGTCCACGTCCGCGGAGGCTGCGTGAGTGCAAGAACACGTCCCGCGACCTCTGCTCGGGGCCGAAACACTGCCTGCGCGCAGTCCTGCAATTGAACCCTGACCTTCTGGTTCATAGGTCGATGCTCAACCCCTGAGTCACACTGGCCGGCTGGGCAGTAATAATCACTTTAATTGCATTTGTGGCCGCAGTGGCGGTGCCAGGCTCCCCAGGAGGGCCCCAGGCTGCTCTGGCTGCGGGAGGGGAAGGTGAGGAGTGAGGAAGAGCAGCGCATACTTGGCCGGGGGCCCGAGCAGCAGCCTGGCTGTGTTGTTGTTGTTATTATTATTCAGCAGCAGCCTGGCTGTGTTGTTGTTATCGTTATTCAGCAGCCCTGGGGTGCGGGACCACGAGCTCACAGACAAAGAAGCAGGCACAGAGCAGGTTGGGGTGAGACCAGACCCCGCGGCCTCTTGGTTATCAGTGACCAGGGGCCTGCGTGGGGCAGCAGGTGTCCACTGCCAAGTCGTGGTCACTCACTGGGCACCCGGCTGCCATAGGATGCGGCTGTGACCCCCCCTTTGCACCTGGTGGCCGTGGCCCTTCTCCCGCTGCCACTGGCTCTGCAGGGGTGTGGACACTGTGCAGGGTGCTGGGCGCTGGGCTGGGGACCTGCGCGCATCCCCCACTTCGGCTACCAAGGGCCCCCGGTATCAGGTCAGCAGGGGCGGATGTGGCTGGGGGAGACCAGGGTGCAGACTGGCTGGAGTCGGTGCTGCCCCCGCCCCCCCCCCCTCCTGGCAGGCAGCGCCCCCGGGCACGGGTCCACTGGGGGGCGCCACCGTCACTGGCAGGGACATTCCGGCCACACCAGCAGGGACCCTGCAGCACTGCCAGGGGCGGGAGGAGGGGCGGGACTGAGGCGGAAACGAAACCAAGTGGCCTAGCGAGGTGGGGGTGGGGGGTGCTGTGCTGGGGCCCCGCAGGGGGTCTGGATCGCAGCAGGGGCGAGCTGGGCAGTGGCTTCTGCGTCCAGGTGTCTGTCCCCCACCATGCCCTCCCCTCTGTCCCCTCTCCTCCAGCCACCTCTTCCCAGGGCGCAGGTTTCGGTTTTGCAGCCTGGTCCCCGCCCCGCCCCGCCCTGCCCTCCGGCACCGCGCATTCCAGGGCCTCACAACACTCCCGGAGGGAGGAAGGAGGCCCAACCTCGGGGGAGGGGACCGGGGGCCAGAAGCATGAAGTCAGACCCTGAGAAGGGCCTCTGCCGGGCAGATGGTGGACTGGGCGGCCAGACCCAGGGCAGCGCCTCCCCGGGAATCCTGCCCTTTTGTCAGTTGCAGTGACAGAAAAGAATTGTTCGGGAAACAGTAACTTTACAAGAATGGCATCCCTGCCCACAGCCCCAGCCGCCCAGAGCGCGGCTTCTCCCAACAGGACGGCTGCCTGGCAGGGCTCAGGGCCAGGGGGCACCTGCTTGGTGGTGGCCTTGAGAGCCAAGCGGGTGGAGGGGGCACAGAATGAGGGAGGGGCAAGATGGTAGGGTCTGCACCCACTCCAGCCCCCACCCACTCAGCCCTGGTTTTCCGGGTTGGGGGGGGGCTTTGAGCTTGGCACAGTTCAGTGGTTAGAAATAAAGGGGAAGGAAGGCCTGGCAGCTGGTTGAGTAGAGAAGGCATCCCCCCCCCACCCCGCCCCAGGCCCTGGTGCAGGTGACACCGTGAGTTGCGGAGCCGCTGGGGCTTCTGGTCTGTGGGGAGGAAGAGCATGGGGAGGACAGCTTGGGGAACGGAGAGGCCTGGGCTGTGGGAGCCATGGGAGGTCTTTGAGAGAGAGAGTGCCCAAGCCATGGTGGGGGTGGCTTCCGGGCTGAGGTGGGGAGGGCGAGGTGGAGGCCAGGGCTTGGCTGTGGCAGGCGAAGCCAGGGCACCGCACACCCGAGCGAGAGTCTTCGGCCTGGCACTGCCCTGCCCGTGGAGGTCACCGTCTGGTGGAGACCGAGCCGCAGTAGCCGGCAGACAGGCAGCCCTGCCCAGAGCAGTGAGGGGAGGCGGGGCCGCAGCAGGAGGGACTAGCCTCTTGGCAGGCGGACCTCGGCTGCTGGAGCCCACAGTCCTCTCTCCCCCTGGTGTGCCCCACGGCCCCTGGGGGCGGGGACCCTTGGCCTGGGCTTGGCCAAAAAAACCCGTCAGCAGGCTCCTGGCTGGGGCCCAGCAGCCCTGCGCAGCCGTCCCTGCGGCCAGCTCTCCGCGTCCCCGGGGCTGTCCTGTCTGTGGGCTCCGTCTGGATGCCTCACCTGAGCCTCCTCACCTGGGAGCCAGGGCTTTTGTCTTGTTAGCACCTTGCCCTGGGCACACAGCGGGCACCTCGCCCACAACTCTGGGAGCTTTCCATGTGCTGTGCCCTCCGGGGACCCTCCCTGCTTCCACCCGCCCCTCCTCAGCCCCCGGCCCCAGTCGCAGCCTCAGCTGGGCGGGGCAACCTTGGCCTCTGAGAGATGGAGAGCTCAGAGCCGGGCTGGGGAGGGGCGGGCAGGGGCGGGGCAGCAGCAAAGGAAGTGGGTGCCTAAGCCGGGGTGGGGGGTGGGGGGACAGCAGGGACCCGGAGGGGAGGATGGTCGGAGGCCAGGCTGTGAGCTGCAGGGGAGGGGCTCAGCTGGGTTTCCATGAAGCTGGGACCTTCTGAGCTGTTTGCAATTTCACTTTCCAGAAAATGAAACTGAAGCGGACAGTGGTCACGTGACCGGCGGCTGGGAATAAAGGCAGCGCTTCCTCGACTCCTGCTTCCAGCTCTGCAGGCGCCGGCGGCATGGAGTGTCCTTCCTGCGGCCATGTCTCCAAAGAGGACGCTCCCAAGTTCTGCTGCGAGTGTGGGCGCAGGCTGCCCCCCGCCCCCGGTAAGGCTGGGGGTGCGGTGGAGGAGGGGTGGTCGGCCTGGACCTGCCTCCTTTCCTGGAAGTGGAAACTGAGGCCAGTGGGCAGCCGGCAGCGCGCCTCCGGGGCCACAGGGAAGCCCGCTTGCCAGAAGCACTTCCCCGAGCAGCTCCGCCGCTTCTGCTGGAGGCACCGGTTGCCTCGTTAGAATTCCATCTCCTTTCTCAGGGAGAATGTGAGGCTCCTGCCCCCTTGGGAGTGGAAGTGTGGCTGAGCTCAGGGGATGGGGTGTTGGGAGGACGCTGCATGGAAGTGGGAGCCCAGGCACAGGGCTGGGCGAGGGGTCGCCTGGTGAGGGTGCCTGGCGGCGCCTCGGTGTCATAGCGCGGCAGGTGGGTCCACCTGCTGACTTTCCACTCGGCATCCTGATGCCTCCTCCCCTTGGGCTGTCGCCCGCTCCGTGGGTTCTCATGTCCTGGCAACACCGGGTCAGCCCTCCTGGCCCAGAGCCGTCACCTAGACAGCCGCCTGGGGGCCTCCCCACCCAGTGTCTGAGGAGCCTCTCCATTTCCTGTTTCTGAAGCCCAGCTCCTACCCACCCCCAACCCATCCCTCAGGCCTCCCACCTGCCCTCAGCCCGGCGACCCACTCACCCACCCCTCCAGTGCCTCGGGCCCAACTCCCAGCACCGACCTCCCCGCCTTCCCTCCCGCACACCCCACATCTGTTCCCAGGACCCACTGGCTGCGTGGGCAGAGCCTGCCCAGGTGTTATCTCCTCCCGCCCCCATGCTCCTGCCATGCCTCAGAGTAAAAGCCGCATGTCCTGCCTGAATGCCCCTCCGGTGCCCTCTGACCTCCTCCCCTGCAGCCCCTCCCCGGCCCGATGGCCTCCAGGCCTTCCTGGGACACATGCTGGCTCTGACCCCAGGACCCTGGCTGTTCCTGTGCCTGGACACACCTCCCCTCCCTCCCGCCTTTGCTTCGCTGTCTCCTCCCCAAGCGCCCTACCCACTGGGGCCCGCGCTTCCTCTGTCTCCTCTGTCTGTCCTGTGGCTTCAGGGGAGACTTGCTGTCTTGGCCGCTGCTGTACCCCAGGTCCCTGGCGGTGCCTGGCGCACAGTAGGTGCTCGATAGACAACTGCTGTGGGCCTCAAAGAAGGTCCGTGGGGCCCGTGTATTTTGTAAGCACGCCGCTGTGTGTGCATATGTGTGCACCTGTGTGAATGTGCATGTGTGTGCACCTGTGTGCATGTGCATGTGCATGTGTGTGTGTGCATAGTGGACAGACGCCGCAGTCCCAGGCCTCCCTGTTCTCGCCCAGTGACTTCCAAGGACGCGCCTGCGGGGGGCGGGGCGTTGGTGTCGGGTGCGCAGGTAGCAGACACTGTGCTGGGGCTCCAGGGCCGGGGGAGGGGGGAAGTGGGGGGCGGCGCTTCATGTTGTGCATTTTGTTCTGTTGATTTGCTTCTGGGGCTGACCCCTGGGGAGAAGCTCTGAGGGTCACAGACCAGTGGCCCTAGGTGGTCGGCGAGTGTCCGCTCCCTCCTTGATTCCTCGCTGTCCAGATGCCCGGTCACGGCGTGGCTGAGCGCCTGGGGTCCAAGTGGGATTTCCGCCCGCAGGGCTCCCCACCCCTCGTTCACCAGAATGGGGATGTTGGGACGGCAGGGGCCTCTGGTGCTTCAGAGACTCAACAAAATAGGAGCCAATCCTGCCAGGCCCGTGTGGCTCAGGGGTTGAGCGTCGACCTATGAACCTGGTCACAGTTCGATTCCCGGTCAGGCACGTGCAGGACAATTCACAGGAAGGCAAACAGGTGTTTGCTGGGGCTGCAGAGACGGTGGGACCCGGACAGGACGTGGTGCAGGTCCCGCTGGCTCCCCCCCCCCCCCCCCCGCCTGGACCAGGCCCTCTGTCCAAGTCCCTGTTGCCGGCCCAGGGGGAGGAAAAAGCCCGCCCTGGGTCTTTGGTTCTGAAGGTAATCGGCCTAAAATAATGCTCGGGGCAGAGCCATCCTTGGGGTGAGACCCTGCTCCCTCCAGCGGCCATCCTCCCGGCCAGGCCAGCGGCCACCCCAGGGCCCCCGCGCCCCGGCCCCGGCCCCGCAGGGCACAGCCACACCCTGCAGAGCCCTGGCCTAACCCTCTTCTCCCTCTGAGCACAGAGGCCTTTTGTTTTGTAAACTATTTGTATGTTTTTATTGATTTCAGAGAGGAAGGGAGAGGGAGAGAGAAACATCCATGATGAGAGAGACTCAGTGATCAGCTGCCTCCTGCACGCCCCGCACAGGGGATCAATCCTGTAACCAGGGCGTGTGCCCTGACCAGGAATTGAACCCTGACCTCCTGGTTCATAGGTCAACGCTCAACCAGTGAGCCATGCCCGCCGGGCATCATTGACCTTTTTGCGGGGTGAAAGGGGGGGGTCTCTCCCCTGCTGTCGGGAGTGGCAGGTGCTGGTCCTGGTCAGTCCGTGGGGGCGCACAGTAGGGCCAAACACCTGCGCCTGAAGGATGAGGCCTGCCTGGCTCCGCTGGCCCCTGAGCACCCATCCCTCGGGCCAGGGCTCAGGGCCACAACCCGGGGAACACACAGACTTCCTGTCTGCCGGCTCCTGGTTTCCCACCCCTGGCCCTGCCTCCCTGTTCACAGAATAGAAAGTGAAAGCAAGAGGGAGCGCTGTGGAGGGGGCGGGCATCCTATCCGCCTGCACAGACGCAGACGGGTGGCTGGGACCTGCTAGGACCCTGGGGTCTGGGGGGACGGTGTGGGGAGGGCACATGGAAGGGGAATGTGTGGCAGAGTCTCAGG